GTTCAGTTCTTTTTCTTGTTCCTTTAACTTTCCCTTCCCTGCTCAGTCACTCCTCTCCCGTCCCCTTCTCTCTCATTTCCTTTATCTTTCCTTTATCTATACATATATATGAGAGAGATAGAAACAATGATGAGAGAGAATCATGGACCGGCTGCCTCCTGCACGCCCCCCACTGGGGATGGAGCCCGCAACCCGGGCCTGTGCCCTAACCGGTTTATAGGTCGACGCTCAGCCACTGAGCCACGCCGGCCGGATAATTTTTTAAACATTTTTTAATCTTGGTAAGATAGACATCACATGACATTAACCATCTTAGCCATTTTCACACTGTGGTGCAACCCCCACCCCCACCCACCTCCAGGACTCTTCACTTTGCAAAACCGAAACTCTGTCCCGGTTACACAATGACTCCCCAGCCCCCACCGGGGCCCGGACAACCCCTGTCCCACTTTCCGTTTCTCTGAGTCGTCCTCTCTAGGTATCTGGTGGACGCGGAGTCGCGCAGTCCTTTTCCTTTTATGGTTGGCTTATTTCATTGAGCATAATGTCCTCAAGGTCCATCCATGTCGCAGCACGTGTCAGAATTTCCTTCCTTAGAGACTGGACAAGGTTTATAGGTCGACGCTCAGCCACTGAGCCACACCAGCCGGATAATTTTTTAAACATTTTTTAATCTTGGTAAGATAGACATCACATGACATTAACCATCTTAGCCATTTTCACACTGTGGTGCAACCCCCACCCCCACCCACCTCCAGGACTCTTCACTTTGCAAAACCGAAACTCTGTCCCGGTTACACAATGACTCCCCAGCCCCCACCGGGGCCCGGACAACCCCTGTCCCACTTTCCGTTTCTCTGAGTCGACTTCTCTAGGTATCTGGTGGACGCGGAGTCCTTGTCCTTTTATGGTTGGCTTATTTCACTGAGCATAATGTCCTCAAGGTCCATCCATGTCGCAGCACGTGTCAGAATTTCCTTTTTTTTTTGGATGTGCCCGCAACCAAGGTACATGCCCTTGACTGGAATAGAACCTGGGACCTTTCAGTCCGAAGGCCGACGCTCTATCCACTAAGCCAAACCGGTTACGGCCAGATATCATACTTTATCCATCAACGACATCTGGATTGCTTCCAGCGTTAGGCCATCGTGGGCAGTGCTGCAATGAACACGGGTGTGTAACTCTGTCTTCGAGAGCCTGACATTGATTCTTTCGCGTGGAGAGCCAGGAGTGGGACTGCCGGACCGTGTGAGAACTCCGCAGTGTGTTTAATTTCTTGAGGAACTGTGATGCTTTCTCCCACAGCGGCCGCACCCTTCCCCGAGCAACGCATGGATGCTCCGCTTTCTCTACAACCTTATCTGATCACTGGGCTTTGTCCTTTATTCTGTTGAGATAATAGATTCATTCATCCATTGGTTTGATACCAAGCCAACTTTACATCCTGTCCTATGACAGATTTTCACTGGCCCCTCTCTGAGCACTGCTGGGTGCCCAGTGGAACCGTGAGGAATAAGGCTTGGAGGTGGAGGAGTGGAAGCCTGAGCGAGAAGGCAGGGCGATATGCTACTTGGGGCTTAAATCCAGGCCCTGACAATAACTGCAAGGTCTGGGCAAACTCATTTTTATTTTTCTCAGTTGTCCAGTGAGCCTCCTGGTACCTAGCTTGGTGGCTTTCCAACTTTGAAACTGTGGTTTGTTTGTTTTTTTTTTATTGGAACCCTCAGTTAAGTATATGCTTTATTTTAGGGTCGGAACCCAGCAGGCACGCACACACAACCAAAAGAAAAGCTCACGAAACAATACTTATGCCGCCTTTCCACGAGGCTGATCGTTTTTATTTTACTTTCTTTCCTTGCAAACAAAATAACAGTCATGGCTCGGGAGGTGGATTTCATGACCCTCTCAGGGGTTTTGACCCACAGTTTAAAAATTATCTCCTCGGAGGGCTCAGTGGGGTGATGGATGGAAAGGGTTTGGTCCAGAGGGAGGCACCCTCAGTGGAAACTTCCCAACATGCTGCGTGGACCCTTCTGGGCCTCATCTTTGCAGGGCTGCTTTCTTCTCATCCATTGGGATTCTCAACTCAAATGCCCCACCCCCCTGAGCACTGGCTCCTGCTACCCTCCTTTATCTCGCTGTATCCTATTACCCTTACCTCCCTGGTAGAACTACCAACCTTATCTGATTACTTGGTGGCGTGTTTACGGCCTGGTGTAACCCTCCCACTTCCAGGACAGGGATCTTGTCTGTCTCGCTCATATCCCTGATCCAGTGCCTGGCAGCATCATGCAGTCAATAGTTCTAGAATGAATGAATGACCACGAGGAAATGAGCAGGAGAGCATTTAAAATATATATATTGATATTGATTTCAGAGGGGAAGGGAGAGGGAGAGAGAGAAACATCAATGATGAGAATCATTGATCGGCTGCCTCCTGCACGCCCTACACTGGGGATCGAGCCTACAACCCGGCCATGTGCCCTGACAGGGAATCGAACCCTGACCTCCTGGAGCCACATCCCATTGGGCCACACGGGCCAGGCAAACAGGCGAGCATTTGAATCAAATATAAGTGTAGTTGAGTTGCACAGATTTTTTTTTAGAGTTTTAGGTATTGGGGTGCTTTTTTTGCCTCCTTTATGATTTATGAAAGTGGTCGTGAGAAAAAAGTAATCAAAGGAGAAATGTTTGCTTACGGGGTTGGCTATCTAGGAAAGAGGTACTATCCCCATTATTTGGGGTTCTAGTTAGTTCTGAACCTATTTCCCCATGCGTCCTAGAGGGAGGGCAAGCTCGTTGATTTCTGATGCCCTTGTCAACGACCGGAACACTGCCTGGAAGGTAGTGGGCGCTCAATAAATATTTCAGGAATGAAAGAATCAAGCTGCAAACTAGAAAGGAAGAACCTAAGAACCGGCTGGGTCAGGCTGCAGTTCCTCCCCGGGGCAGGAGGCGGCGCTAGCGTCACACCAGCCCGGACGCCGGCCGTTCTTGGCCCCTCCGGCTGACCGTCCAACCCCGGGCCCCGAGGCCAGGGCGGGAGTTAGCCAATAGGAAGCCGTCTTAGTTGTGAGGTGGGACAGAGCTGCCCTATGAGCGCAGCGGGTCTAGGTAAGGGGCGGGACGACGAGGAGGGGCCGGGAGGAGCGGTTAGAGGTG